ATTTTTGATCAACATTCCATTTGCTTCTTAAAAATTTAGACAAAGTTCCTAGTGCATTTTATTAAGCTTTACCTTTGGTGTTAAGCAGTGACTTATTAGATTTCCCTTTTAAACAATTTCTGGAGCGAGGATTCTTTGGCTTTGGGGGACTACGCTACCTAACGACAGTCAGACATCCTTTTTTTTGTGTAAAGAAAAATATAAGTCTACTATTAGATACCATAAGAGATACAGATTTCAGAAACAGACAGACGCAATATGCTGGCTTTCCATAATGAAATCACCAACAGCTGAATTCTCGGTTACCCTGGATTCCTTCACCTCTCCACTCACTGGAGCAACATAAAGGTGCCTTATTGTAAGTGAAAACCTGGCCCTATTTGTTTATGCTGATCTGAGTACTGAGTGCCAAGCTACCATCTTCTGTTGCCTGAAGGTTTTCACCATACAAAAGAGTCGATTGTGCTAGCAGTAACTTTGCCCCGAGGGCTATTTTACACTACAGTACTTTCTGTACTTTTTAATATCTGGAATCCAAATCTGTTTATGCAAAAGGGTGTTTAAATTACTCTGCTAGAGCACTGCAATTATTGTACTTAGTAAAAAAAAGTCACTAAACAATTACTGTATCTATCGACTGCTCATTTACAGCTTATTTAATTATTTACATAATTTTAGGACACATTAACCTAAACCATAAGTAGAATTAGCTTTTTGCCTTACCATAAAGTACAAATTAGAAGTTAAAAATGTTTAAGAAATCTGATCATATTTACACACGTTCAGCTTAAGTTATGGTTGCTCACATGGCATGTTCTATGTACACATAGCAAAATGTTATGATCACTACTGACATAGTATTGTACCCTGGCCATCCCACCCTACGTTATTCTCTAGAAATATTAAATACTTTTGCCTTTTTTTCTTGGTTCCCTAAGGAATTTCTTGGTTTTGAAAACTTACTAGTGGACAATGCTGTTATAAAAAGAGAGAGAAGAAATAGGCAAGCAATGTGAGGACTAGTCTAACTTCAGACGCTAGGAGGTACAGTACTATCATCATGTCAAATGGTGCAATGCTCCATACGAATTATAAGCATTGATCTGCTGATACAGAAATGCCCGGTTACCCTGTATAGTAAGTTGGTTTTTTTAAATACATTAATCTCTTTTTCTCAAAAATATATTCATACACTGGTTGATGGTTTGAAACAAAACTAGTATTAGCTTATTCCTTTAACACGCCAACATATGAATGCATGTGCATATATATACTCAGTACGTGTATATATGCACACATATGAGCATATAGACATTTAGGTATATGTCCATATGCACATATAGTTGGATAATGTTTAACATCCATTCACTTATGTTTAGTACTGTGTTCTGGTACACAATTGGAACACAGTCTAATAATTACAGTGAAAATTAATTGAGCTTTAATTGTAATGCATATTTGCCTGAAATAAATAGGATTTGTTCCCCAGGTATAAGACCATCACTCATTTTCTCTATGCATTGTGCTTTTGTACCTTATAGATTTCATGTCTTTTGCATTAGAATGTAAAAACTCTCTGAAGAACTCTGCGACATGCTGTTATCTAAGACTCTGTTTTCCTCCCCTGGGAATGAGAAAAGAAATGGTCACAATGTCATTGCTTGAGTCTTTCTTCCCAGTCATTAAACTGCAATAGGATAGAAACGTAACATTCTTTATGCAAACACAGAAATATGTTGCATGAATTTTCAGTTCTGAAAACGTGTATCATACTTACTAGCAGTCATGTACAGTATATATTTACAGATTGATCTCAAAGATTTCATTAAAACTGTGCCATGTTAATAGTCATAATTTGCCCATGAATTTCACAAAGATGAAAAACACCTTAATTGCTGGCTATCATGTCTAACAGAATAATAAAATGTGCAACTATAATTATATTACAAGGTTTACCTAAATTATTAACTTTGTTATTTTGCTAATTGAAACTAACAACAATTAACACGATTAAAAGGATCTAGAATATTCAATTTCGGTCAATTCTAAACTAAAAGTAAATTTATTCTAGTTTACCTGAAGGGTAGCACACAGCAAACCTCATATCTCACATATGTTGACATCCTTTCTCACTTTTACTCAAGTATCTCAGAAGAGGAGTAAGTGCCCACCCTGGGCTCGAGTTATACTTCTCCCTTGACAGTGCCTCGCCAGTCTTTCTCATCCCCATCTTCTTTTTGTATCACAGTGTTAAGCCTCAGTACAAAATGATAGAATCCTTCTCTTTCACTAATTTTATACATTATATTAATATCCAGAAGGACATCGTAAAAGTGAAAGTGCTCCTTCCCCCCAGATAATATATCTTTCCTAGTGACACCTGAGCAGAAACCAGACATTTTCTTTCACTCTCTGAATAGCGACACCAGAGAGCATTATGGCTTGTACTGTAACTTCAGATAAATTTACGTGCAGTTCTAGGATTCAGTCTCTGTGGTTTTCATAATAGCTGATGCAGTAAAACAACACAGAGAGCCAACGCATTCTCTGTAAGGTTTTACATTTGATGTGTATCAACCACAAACAGGCTGTGAGCTCCCTGTATTCACACTATGCTTCTGTGAAATAAAAAAGAAGTTGGCAGCAATTTGTGAAATCAAAGAAAAGCTTGTACAGAAGAATACTGTAAGACTGCTTTTATTTATGATAATTAACACCATTTTTAAAGAACAGACTTTGAAGAAAAATACTGAATTTTGATGTGGCTCCTTTTCTTAGAATTGGGAAAAAAATTCCAACATGATTCATACCTATCAGTTGAAATTCTAAATGCACCTACAAAGCTTATTGTGTTTATGCATGAAATGCAGGCAGAAATTAAGTAAGTGAACAAAAAGCAATATTTTGACGTGGAAAGTTGATCGCATGATGAAAGCCTGTCTGTAAATATTGCAAAGTCTGAACCTGGAGGCAGTACGTGAACATACACACAACTTCCTTGAAAACAACAGCTGGTGTATACGCCTGGCAAGTCCCATTTCAGGCCCAAAACTATTCTTTCCCATTTGAAGCAGAAATAAGCATATGATATGCTCAAAACAGAGTTAGAAAATTGACCTATTAGTTCCCAGAACTGTTTTCCTTCTATGACTGTCATTCACTGTCAAATGGGGAAAAAACCCACAGAAGCTTGCAAGAAAATTACTCTTTTAAAGCAAGAACAAAACATTCAAAGAAAATATTTTACAGAAGAACTATCGTAAAGTATTGCCAAAGGAATACTTAAATACGGAAAACGTATCTGCCTGAAATAATTCCTTTGCTAGTTGGAAGATACTTGAATTCTACTTTCTTTCAGAAATTTGTACTCAGATGAGAGGTAGCACAGATAGAACAGATGTGACTTGTGTTCCATGAAATATTTTGTGTCAAACAATACTGGGGATCTGATTCAATAAAAGCCACCAGGAATTATACTTTTCATACAGTTCTTGCAAATTTTTTTTTTTATTACAGAAAAAGGTTTCACAATGGACTAAATGGCAAATTCTACCTCGCCTATAAATTTCTATTTTTTGTTTACTCTATTTTGCCTATAAAAATAAAGCTCTATGGAATGAAAAAAAAACAACCACTTTTTTTTTTAAATTTCCCTAAAGCAAAACTGGAATGTGCTAGTATTTCAATGGAAATCACCCTGAAGCAGGAAACATTCAAGAGTGTAATCAAACTCTTAAAGTGGTGGCTAGCAAATTTTTCCCTTTAAAATAGTGCCTTAAGGAAAACAAAATAAAAGCTGAAACGGTATCCCTAATCCAGACTGAGAAAATACCCTGTCAGTATTTTTTGGACTGAAGTACATATGCTCGGATCTTTACTGTTGAGAGAGGTACGATACCTTTAATCGAACTGGATGGAAAGCGTTAAGCATAACGACAGTAGCAAGTGTAACACTGGAAAGATTGCCAACTTGGAAGAAATCACACAACTCCACAGGAATATTTCAGACTAAGATATGTACTATAACTGACAACATTCATTTGCACAGTGTGTGTGTGTGTATACATACACACACATACATATATATACACACACACATACACACTTTTACATATATGCAGCTTTCCCTCTCCTTGGCCATGTATTGTATGACTGCTGTCTCGCTCTCCCTACCCTGGAAAGTCAGGGCATTGTCGGTTTCCTTCAGCCACCTAGAGAATTGCCATTTGGCCAACCAATTTGGCACTTTGGACAGCTGATTTCCTTTCTCCAACACAAAACCAGACCATATCTACCCATTCAGAGTTGATGCATTTTTACACCATTGCTACATTTCTCTATTGGTCAAAACTACAGTCATTGTGATTGTGAGCATACGTTCCCTCTTTAAAATCCAAACAAAACTAATACTTTTTGCTTCAGCTTCTGTGCAAACACCCAACCCTAATATTATCAGTCAAAGGTTTAGTTCTTTCAACAAATAACAGGAAATACCTGAATATGGTTGGGAAACCTCTGACCATCATCATCTTGGAAAGATGATAGGCACTACTTGTTTTCAAGTTTACATGTTTAAAAAGTAAAGTGTATACGTGTCATAAGCATAACAACTTAGTACACTCTCTTCAGTGCAGATGCATGTCTCAGATATGCAGTTTCCCTGGGAATGGTACGTACTGCTGTTGAAATTGGAACTTGTTTCTCAAATGCCGCTCTATAATTGTACCACTAAGCTCAAATAGTCATAAAGGAAAAAAAAGAGAGAGAGAGAGAGTGTGAGGGACAACGAGATAGAAATGATTGTCAAAATCAAATTTGCCTTCACACTCAAAATGCACTTATATTTTGATAAGGGGATATGTCCATACTGCAACTTAACATATTTACAATTTAGCAGATACAACCAAAACATTATAAAAACAGACCATAGAGTGGGCCAGCAACTAAGGTGTTTTAAAATAACTTTTTGTCCTGAATAGAATTTTTCTAAGTCCCACTTTTGGCTGTACAACCGATTTGAAGAGAAATCCAGTTCTTGCTTCCTGGGTGGCTTTGTTTCTTAGTTCACATAGTAAAGCCAATAGACAATATTGAAGAAGGAAAAAACAACAGGGAAGAATATGCGCGACCATCGATCTATGGCATTTACATCAGTCAAGTCAGGAATGGTAATTTTCAGTTGAGATGCACGTCTCCGTAGTCTGCTTTTCTTCTGTGCCACATGTCGCTCCAGGGCGTTGCGACCAAAGCTGTGTCTGGGTAAGCCAGCTTTCCGGTACTGGATGCTCGAAGTGTCATAGGCCAGCATAGTGCTTCTAGGGTCCCCAAGCCCCATCACAGCCTCAGAGGCAGCCATCTCATTTTTAATTTCAAGTGTGCTCAACAAAATATTTTCATGTGGATCCATCTGTAAAAAAAAAAAAGCAAGCAGAGTTAGCAGGAGAGAAAGGAAGGCCAAGCAGTTGCAAACTGAAGCCATGCTGACAAGGGCTCAATCTAAAGTTACTAATTCACTGGATGTCAGCCAGTCTAAAAGATTTAAAGCAGAGCTGTGCCTATATTTATTGTCATTTATTTGCAAACTCAAGGAGCAATGAGGCCGGCATAGTACAACGGAATAAACGGTGTTTCCCTAGACCCCATGTTCAGTGAGCAGAAGTGATATGTACTTCTGTACAGAAGCGTATATACTCAGCTCCTGAAAGCAGGATTCTGCCACTGAGTAAGATATCTGGGGCCAAATTTGAACTTTTCAGGGTTTTGGAGGGAAATCAAATGGAAAAAAGTCTGCTTTGATTTGTTTTTTCTTCTTTCAAATGAAAGCTTCTGCTCTGACAAAAACTTCAGGTATTCACAAGGTCTCTCTGTCTCTATAAAATGAGGCCCAGAGTACAAGAGAATGTATATTTCCAGTCCCTATATTCCAAACAGGACTGCTCATTACTTCGGGAAAGGCACCGACATAGTCTAACTGTACCTATGTGGAAACTCCATTCCCCAGTGCTAATGAATTTCAGAAATGTAGTGCATGCTGTGGAGACCTGAATGCTGGAATAGCAGAGATGTGCAGTTTAGAGCAAGGAAAAACACATACAGAGTGTAATCACATCAAATGTGCCCTGAACAGTTGTTTCATGCAACAGTTGTTTCAGTTTTAGCCACTATATATTCTTTTAAGGGTAGTTCAGTGAAAAAAACATTAATGCAATGTTGTAAAGAAACCTCTTAGACAATTAAGAGGATTTCAAAGACAAGGAACTAAATTTTACTCTTAAGCAATCTGGAGCAGATCTGAAATATGGTAGGAGAACTCCAAAATAATTCATTTATAGAAAACAAATATAAGGTTATTTAGAAAGTTCTAATTCTCCTCAGTCTTCCCTCTAAGTATATATTTTGAATTGTATGATTACAGAGTATAATTAAATAAAAATACTTTAAGAGCAATAATAGCTAATGAGCAGCTAATTAAGTACACTGACTTAGCGATGGTAGTGCAGATATACTTCAGGTCAAATAAGAGATTACACTGTCCCAGAGCTCCTTTGAGAATAACTCAGCCACATTATTAATTTGTCACGTACGTAGTATATAATATGATTATTATTGAAAGTGCACAAATTGTGACTTTAATGGATTTCTAAACAATAACATGGCATTAGTCTATTCTGTAATATTTAGAACCCATCAGTCAGCAGCACATACCTCGCTGCACTACCCAATATAGCACCGTATTTGCCATCATTAAAAAAACCCTATGTAATATTTCACATGGCATGGTGAGAGAACTGGGTTGAAAACAAGATGCTTTTTAGTAGCATCCGCTGCACAGCGTTATGAACTGAGGAGTTGGATACTCACAAAAGTACTTTGGACCTACTGAAACACTGCCATTTGAGTGATTACATCTGTTCAAGTGATGCATAAATATCAGCATTGCTGAAACGCCAGATTTCCCTCTCTCCTTTTTTTCCTTCCCAATCTATGTGAGTTTGCACCCCTCTAGTTTCATTATACTTTAATTTTAGATTAAATGTAATGACTCAATGTGAAGTAGCCAAAATAATCTATTATTGCTTGCTTTCCATCAAAGCCATATGAAATCTTTGAATTTTTTAGCATGTTAGGGAAATCAATCTTGTTTGAGAAGCACTGCAAAAATGGGAAAATTCAGCTGGAACTCAAGAAAAAATCCTTTAAAAACACTATAGCATAATATTGAGCATGGTGAGGAAACACTTTTCTAGCCAGGAAGGCCACCAAATCAGTTCTTATCTGCAGTAGACAAAACTAAGGCAAAAAGAGTATTCTGCTATTGTAATACAAACAAAAGCAAACATGCAAAAGCTTTCAAATAAATCTATGAAACTTTTCAAGACAGCTTTAAAACATTTTCTTATAACGCATGCAGTTACTTAGAAAATTCTTATGTGATTTTTGTGGTAAGACAAAATTTGCTGTCACTTTTGTTATATGATCTCAGACAAATAATAAGCCTTTCAGTATCCTGAAAATAAAAGTGATGATAGGCACTTAGCATTCATTGATTCCAAGAACATTCAAAAACAAATAGGGGAAGTATCTTACGAGAGGGGTGCAAAGCCATTCGGAAACTACATTTTCCATAGTTTCACATAGCCTTAAGAAAAGAATAGGAAATTCAATTCCAATGGCATCAGGGGAAGTTTGACATAACATCCACTAATGCAATGGTTTTACCCCTTAGCCCACAGCCTGGGTTATTTTCACCTCAACGTTGTGCATTCTAAGATACTATCTTTGGAAAGATTTTAGTGCCAACAAGTTTTTTCACATCTTAATTCTTCTTAGGATGAATTTACTTTAAGCATTTTATCCTTTTGATCTGTAATGATATTAGAAATTTGAGTGCTTTTTACACACTCGTACACTTCCTACGCGACACAAATGCAAGAAAAGTTAGTCTACCAGAGTTAGATACAGACATGTTTTAGTGACATGATATCACTCCTTCAGTTAACTTTCTGCTTTGATTCTTTTGTTACTTCTGTTCTCATGTCAGTAAATTTCTTAACACAGCAAACTGCGGCAGATATCTGGTAATCTTGGCTGTAGTTAGTACGACTAGTGATGCTGGGCTGAAAAAACATTTAACAATATTCTAAACTATCTTCTAGAGCAAAGCATCTTCTTCTGCACATATCACACTGATACTAGAGTTGAAGCATAGCATTTTTCAATATTCCAAGAATTTTTCAGAAGAAATAATGCAAAATAAAAGTTAGTGATGGGCGAACCTTCAAGTGTTAGAATAGCCAGGTAAGGACCACAAAGTTCATGTGCTTCTTGTGCACTAATTTGACCCTCCTGCACCCAGAACAGTGGATTAACCATAACAAGAACTGCATTTTTCATGCTATTTTGAATACCCAATCTGAAGAACTCCCAAGGTTCCAAACCAGAAGGACAAACGAATGTGAAAATAAAAGAAAGAAAGAAACAAACAAACAAAACCAGAACAACAACAACAACAAAAAACAAAACCAAAAAACAAAACCAGAAAGAAATTAACCTAGCTTTTCAACCTTTGACAAAAGGTTCGTTGTCAGATTAGAGAGAGCTGGGAGTGTTACTTCCACAGAGCAGGTTCGCCCAACTCTAAATAAAACATGCCTTTGTAATTAAGCGAAGCCTGAGATAGTACCATAATCAATTACATTTATTGTGCACAGCATCGCCCATTCAAAAGGATCCCAAAGCGCTTTACAAGCATTAGAAAGAAGAATCACTTCACTTCCCAGTGAAGTGCAATCACCTCTGAGGCGAAATGTGGTGACTGACAGTGCAGAACAATACACTACATTTTAGTCGAGGAAATGGAGAATGCTGTAGCCAATTGAAACTATGGGGTGGGTGAGTGGTGGTGGGGAATGTTAGGTAAGCAGAACAGTCACATAAATTGATATTTGGCCAGAGGCTTGGGGTTGAGATGACCACGCTATTAAAAAAGTGCCATGGGATCTTTAATGACCATAAGAGGTCAGGACCTGAATTTTAAGTCTCTGAGGATAAAAACATTAGAAAACAATGAAAGATACCTTTGTTGAATACATTTCTGGACAATGATATGTGCCAATTATTCTTCTGTCCTGTAAGTTAATAAAATCAAGACCAGTTTCCTTAGAGATAAGGCAGCTATTATCTTTCATTTAAAATTAAAGCACTCTAGGGTAATAATAGGACAACTAATTAAAAGATATATGGGCCTCTAAGCCAACAATTAGTATAAGTATATTCTGGCTTCAGAGGTGCTATTACTGCCTTGCTCTGCTCCTCAAGGTAACATAACATTGTGATGTAAATGTATTTTTTCCAACTGGTCACTTGACCAAGGAAGATATGATGATATGAAAACAATTGTTAAAATTATTCTGGGGGAAAAGTAAGTGTAAAAGTGATTTCAAAAGGAGGTGGAAGAAGGTTAAAAAGATCTCTTGGTGCTGAAGGATTGTTCAACCATAGAACTAGGCCCTTTATGGTGAACAGGAGAGTTCAAACTTAATGGAGAAATTCCCAGGGAAAAGGAAGGAAGGGAGGATGTGAAGATGAAGAAAAAGCAGCAGCAAGTACTATGGAAATAAAAGGTGAAAGCAGAAGTGAGGAGAAATGACCAGAGCTCAGCAACCATGCAAAAGGGTGGGTTTTTTATAAATCAATCTTAAAGGTGGATGACAAAATATATGATGCAAATGATATTCAGTTGTAGGTCCAGGTCAACTGGAAGAAAAGCTGACTCTGGAGCCTTGAAAGAGGCCATGACCTTCTCGATGGCCTCAAACAAAGGGAATACAGAGGAAAGTGTAGAAATGTTACCATTATATATTCTTCCTGCTACCTAGAAACTCCAAAATGATGGCTTTCTTGAGGAATTCCTCTTATACTAGTATATTAGCAACTGTAAAATACAAGGAAATTACAACTCCCACACTCATACATACATACACACCTTATGTACATTAGGAATCCTCCAAGGATGACCAGATCTCTGAATCTAACATCAAGTTAAACAGCATTTGGTGATTATGCTCTACTGTTATCCAAACATAGCTTTAGAGTAGAAGGGAAATTAATATTGATGAATTGAAAAGACCTAATACTGACATTTTTCATTCCTCATATACTGTTAATTCTCAGTTATAAACTTCAATTACAGGCAGGTACTGATGGCTCATTTTACGGTTGAATGGCTCAGAAGCCGTGGATAAAATAGAGAGTAGGGCTAGAATTTCTGGTGGAAAAACCCTGTGAAATAAACCAATTGTAAATCCAAAAGAAGTATATTTTTGTTATGTAAGGCTGCCATTAGCCAAAAGCAAAATATGGTGAGCTAAACCAAGAAGGGAGAACAGAAGTACCCAGTCTATTACAAAGATTAAAACCTGAGATTAGGTCTCAGCATTTATAGATCCTTTGAACTGACGTTCTTAAGAACTGAAGACAGAAATAAAGATCTCTTTCTCAATGAAGACCAACATGACATGCCTAGATGTATAATTTAATTTGTTAGAGATAGAGACCTGAGTATTATCTATAGTACAGTTTCCCACCTCTTAGCAGCTGAGCTTTGCTTGGAAAACCAGTAACATCCCAGTCCTGACTAGTCACAGTAGCTCTGGCAAGACTAGGTGAAAGTACGAAGTGCACTTTACACATAATAGGGATCTTCACCTCACCAGCAAGGTTTGACTTACTCATTAGGAAACACTGATCTCTGGGGATTGCACTGACTACACAAGGTAATGTGTGGAAGATAGATAGTCTTGTATAAGCTGCTGCTACGTTAACTCTGGAAGAAAAAAGAATTAATGATTTTCAAATGGCACCTGCCTAAAGCTATACAGACATTTTTGACATGATAAGCAAGTCTGCTGAGATAAAACTATATGAACTCATAAAGCACAAATGCCTTTAATATTTTGAAACATCCATATGTGAAACAATGTCCTTGAGAATGTAACAAACACTGCATTTACATTATCTGTACAAAAATTGGATTTATTGCCATCATTGCAGTACTGGTTTATGAACCCACGTTAGCATGCTCTGGCTCAGATTGCGTTACACACCTATGATTTGGGTCAGGCTGTGAAGCATGCAGTTAGAGAACAGTAAAATTGACTTGTAATTTCAGGTTACTTTGTTTGGTTTCAGGTCAGAAAATCTAGAGAAACTCTGCCAATTCAATCAGGATTTTCTTTTGGTTCTTGTGCTTTTTAAAGTCTAAAAATCCAAGCAAAAAACCAAGAGACCTGTAAGAATTTAAAGAAAAAAAAGTGAGAGATAGTGCAAGATCTGGACAGGGAGCTTTAACACTGCTCTAACTACTTGCAATTCAATTTCCAGGCATCCAGTCTTATTCTTTGATATATGTACTTTCTTGATCATTATAATTAGAAATACATCAATAATTTAGTCATAAGTATTGTAGGATTCTGGAGAAATGGTTGAAAACATAGGCTTTCTTTTGGCATCCATTACTTACACACAAGATTCCATAAGTAAAACATTGCAGAACAAGTGCCTGTATAAAACGAAAGAGGCTAAAGTATCTTTGGCTTGATGACATTTGAGTAAAACTCATGAAACACAGAAACATAGCAAAATTGCCTATATAAGAAAGCTTTGTGAAAGATGAAAAATGCATGGAACATTCGATTATCATTGCAACTGGCAAATTTTCTAAGGTACGCTTTGGATATAGCTATAGCTATATGAAGTAGACAGGAAAAATAAGGCTGATAAAGTTCTCCTCTGGAACAGACCTCTGTAAAATACATGGATGTTATTTTTCCTGTTTGAAGTCAAATACAATGTGTGAAGCACTACACAGCATATACGTGTCATGAGGGTGGGTGGACTGTATGGCAGTCTACCAGTGTTTCATCCATCTGACCATGATATACTCACTTGTCAACAGATTTAGGCTTGTGATTTTGGGGAAAACCAACAATATAATTCTTGGGCCCAGCCCAAAGATTAACATGGCCAGAGGCAGCACGAGGTCCAAGGAAAATCTTTGGGAGCAGTGACAAATGCCAGATAAAACACTGGGAGAGAAACTGCAATTAATTCAGGGAAAAAAAAAAGAAAATTATTGAGATTTTTCCATAGAAAATCGCTGACAAGTTTTCATTATAAGGAAAAAAAAAAGATGAATTCTGACAATGAATTTCCAAATTAAAAAAGATATAAAAATGTACTTATTATGATCACGTTCAGTGCTGATTTAGAAACCTGAAATACTGCCAGTTCCATGGCTTTAGATACTGCAAGGCTCAGAGGACTAGTCCTGACAATATCAAAATGAAAATTCTGCTGCTTTAAAATAATTGGAGAAATCTGAATTTGTTGACTAAATTAGAACGTTCTGCACGATTTACTTGAACACCGATAGTCTGCTGTTTGGAGAGAGTCTAACATTTTGTCACTCGTTTAAAAATGAGTGACAAGAATGAAAAAACTTTGTTGCCAAGACATGGTTAGTCATTTCAGATTTGTTTCTAAGTAAACTTATGTGTATGCAAAACATATAACAATACTCTGTATTATACTTAAATTGGTTTTGTGCATGCATTAATTCTAGAGAAAATAAAAACTGGATGATAGCTTTCTACCTGACATTTCAGTGGCCTTTTATGCTTGTAAACTTAAATAAAACTTGAGTTTGATTAGTTAAACATATTGTAGTTCTATAGCAATATATACACATATGCATATAAAATAGAAATACATGGATAGTAGAAGAATTTTAGAACACATTTAAAATGAAGCAAAAAAGACTGGTTTTCTTTAGCAATAGTGTGCAGTTTGCTTTTGACACAAATAATTTTATGGAAACAAGAGAATAAAAATAGTTTACTAATGTGCAGACCTGGTAGGTGTTTATGTAAAACACGATTATGTTCAATGTTATAGAAGTTTCCTAAGATGCATTTCAGGAAGAGTGAGCTACTCACAATGGAGAAAGCTATTAATAAGTTAATGAGATCAAAAATGGGCTTATTTTTAAATTGCAAATTATTATGTATTGTATATGCCTCATGACTCAAAAAGGAAGAGGAAATAAAAGCTGAAGAATCATCCCTGACAACAGCTAGGCCTCCTCAAATGATACCTACATAGAATCGGCTTTTGGATCTTCTCCTCCAGCTATAGCATCGTATACTTTAATAAACAAAAGACCTTCCATGCAACAACTGAGACTTATGTAAAGACACTTGTCCTACCTAAAACTGCTACAGCTTGAAAGTATAAAACCTCTAGCAAAATGTAAGCTAAAACCTTCCATTTCTGAAGACCTTCTAACGGTATTAGACCGTTACCTGCAGAAATCTTTGAATATTCAAAGAATACATGGACAAAAAGTGTCCCAAACAAAGCATTACATGAAAATAATGCTGATTCAGGCTCTGTGACTTTCCCCATTGCCTCCCTCAGGTCAGCTGAAAAGCATTAAGTTTCTGACAACTATATTACCAGAAAGTCGAGTTAATTTTGAGGGCATAAGCAAGGACAGGTATGTAGGGCTTTCTGTACATAGTTTTAAGATGCATTAAGTTTAGAGAGAAGGCTCAACAAGATTTTCGGGTGGAGAAGAAAACTAAATTCAAGTCTCTCACACTTTTAAAAAGAGGAATGGAGACATAAATAAGATTTAGACTTCTGTGTTTTAACATAACCTTATATCACTACAGAGGAACTCTTAAAACTAGTATCTAAGGAGTAAAAAAAGATGTATTCCTATATATAAACACATATGTCTGTACATATACACACACATATTTAAATTTAGGCATAATCCTACTGACCTTACGACATTTTTCCTAAGTTATGTGAGGAACTAACTCCTGGTGTCTCTCTTTCTCCATATGCAGAATTCTGGCAAAACAGCTAGTATCCAAAAGAATGAGTACCTAAATGAATTTGCCAATAAATATAGGTCTTCATAGTCCACCATGAGTGCTTTGTTAAATTTAACATGCATGTATGCAACACACACCCTAACATCCTTTAAAAAAAGAAAAAACATATATAAGAAAATACACAATCTGTACATGTCTACACGGATGCCCAGTTCATATGCTCCATT